TAAAAATAAAAAACAGCAACTAAGCCAAAAAAAAGTGACTTGTGCCAAATAAACTCTGTTCTATGGTCAAATAATATATCTATGCCCAATACAATCTCTGTTTTACGCTTCAACCTCTCTTGCTCTTTTCCTTTCTTCAAAGGCTGCCTGTTTCAGCAATTTCACTCCTTCTTCGAGTGAAATTGCCTGAATTCGACTTATCTTGTTATGAAAGAATACGCCAAGGACACGATCCGCTGCTTCAAGCATCTCCGTCTTGAAGGTTGCCGTGATGAATTGGCATTCTTCAGAATCTTTCAAGATAAGTTTTGCAACCGAAGCACGATATTCTGCATCAAGAGCAGCATCGATTTCATCAAATAGATAAAATGGTGCCGGATCACAGCGCTGAATGGCAAATATCAATGCAAGAGCCACAAGCGATTTTTGTCCACCACTTAGCTGAGCAAGATCTGTAGTGGGAGTACCAAGTCCAAAGGAAACACGAATTCGAGCAGCAATATATGGATCTTCTCCCGCGTTCTTCTTGGCGGATGATCGGACAAGTTGTAGCTCCCCATGGCAATCTTCAGTAGAAACAATTTCCTTGAAAACCTCCTCAAAGTTATACTGCATTTGCTTAAATGTTCGCTCCACTGCCTCATCCTTTTTCTTGTCGAGATGGCCCATCAACGCATGAATACTTTCTAGTTCATTTTGAAGGTTCTCTTTTTGACCGACCAATTCATTCTTCGTTTCCATAAGAGATGAGTACTGGTCCATTGCTTTTCGGTTCACATGCGAATACTTCTTCATCTTTTCATTGATTTCTTTTAGGCGATGCATTAACATACCAAGGGATTGCCCAGAATACTTGCTGGCATCTTTAGGAACAATACCCAACTTCCGTATCTTGTCCATGGCGTCATCGCGGCGCTGGATGAGAAGTGTTCGCTGAATCTGGATTTTTTCATCGTTGTCTCTTCGCTCTTGAATAGACCTAGCTGACGCAAGTCGTGTATTTTTTAACGCCTCTAGTTTCTCTTCACTCGCAATTTTCTTGTTTGTCGCTTCAGTAATTGAGCGTCGGACAGCCTCCAGTCGCTTAGAAACAAAAGAAAGTTCCCCGTCCACGTTCCCTTGCTCCCGTGTCACACCCTGATTGCTTGCATTCACCCAGCCAAGTTCACGAACACGGTCAGTTACGATATTCATTCGGCGTGTGTTATTTTGAAGTGTGTCCTCCAATAATTGCACCTCTGTGGCTAACTGAACACCCTGTAGCTGAAGTGATGAAAGATCCTCTCGAGATTGTTCCACTTCTGTAATAAAAGCCTCCAGTTGACTCTCCTCTCGCTTTCCCCAGTGTGACAAAAACTCTTCTTTTGTCTCCTGTTGCAAAAGTTCCAGAGAGCTAGTTGCATCAGCCATTCCCTTTTCCAAGGATTTTCGCGTGTCCAATAATTGTTCCCGATACTTCTCCAATTTTAGCTTTCGTTCGCCATGAAGACGAGCATCTCGAAGATCTGCATCTGCATCATTCTCTGTCCTAGCAGCCTCTCCTCGTAAGGATTCAACATCATTCATGGCATCAGTTATCTTCTGTTCAACAACGGCCACTTCGTGACAAAGTTTTTCAAGTAAACTCTTCTCATTTGACAACCTTACAGCCAATTTCTTCTCTTTATTGAAAGATAACAATCGCAAATTGCGAGATTCCAAGTATCCACCGGTAATTCCGCCCTTGCGGCTTATTTGATCCCCTTCCATTGTCACAGCATCACAATTATATTGCTTCACAAATTTAGCGCCCTCTTCAATAGAAGGTACAATAGCTGTCTTCCCAAATAATTCAGCCACAACACCCTTAAATTTTGAGTCACAAGCGATGTTGTCCATCAGTAAGCTAGATCCTTCTTTTCCATTTAATCGGATGGGTTCGCTTTTGCATGTATCCAGGGGAAAAAAGGAAATACGTCCTGGTTTCCTTCTCAAATTGATTTGGCCAAGAATTATCGCGCTCACTTCAAAGGAATCAATAACAACATTAAAAAGCGCATTGCCTGCAGTCACCTCAACTGCTGTTTCATATCCCTGCCTGACATCAATTAGTTCAATCAACTGACCATGAACTGCGCTTGTAAGTCTTTCATCGGCAAGCTCATGTAAGACCTCTTTTAAGGACTGTAACCCTTGACGAATATCGTGGCGAACAGCACGCTCAAGTTGATGTCTTGAACGGCTCCATTCGTCCTGCAACCTTTGAACGGTGATTTCTTGTTCATTGACCTTTTGCCATAAACTTCTCCGCTCCATATTCAGCGTATTCCGCATTGCTACGAGTTTCTCCCTTAGAACTTCGTGATTAGCCAATTTTGATTCCACCTTCCTTGTTACGGCCTGCTTTTCCTTCCTTTGCTTATCTTCTTCTTCAATGCGATCGCCTACTTCCTTTATGCTCTTGTTTATACGATCAATCTCCTTCTTGTGCGTATCTATGGTTTTTCTGTTCCGTTCTATTTCCCCAGCAAGCCATGCATCACGTTCTGCCTTGTTTTTAAAAAGCTTCCTTCGTCCTCTCTTAGCAAGAAGAATTTCCAGTTTTGCTTCTAAGCTGGACACCTCATTACTTTTCAGTTCTGTTGTTGTCTGATGTTGATGTAGGCTATTCCGTCTTACTTCCAAGTCTCTGTTCATCTTTTCTATATTTTTTCCCAAATTTTCTGCTTCTTTTTGAAGAGACATGCTTTCCTTTTCATTACGACTTATTGCGTTCTTCGCATCAGCAGCATCCAACTGAGCAATGGCTTTCTTACTATTCAGTTTGGTTGCCTCTCTTTCCAGCAACTGCAGTTCACCCTCCAAATGCGCAATGCGTTTGGAACAATTGCGAACATCTGTCTCTGCCTCTTCAATAGAGTTCTTCGTATTATTTTCAACACTTCTTTCTTCATTTAATGAGGAAACATATTCGCCTCGTTTTTCATCCAATTTCTGCAGGCACTCTTTCGCATTGTTCAACTCCAAAGAAAATATGGAGTATTCAATACATTTTCTTTCCTTTTCAATTCCTTGAAGAGACTTTAATTCAGCACTTTCAGTCTCAAGCTCTGTCAATCTGTTTTGCAACTCTCCAATAGACTCCTCTATCTTGTTGTACTTGACGGAAGTTTCTTGCAAGATTTCTTCACTTTCTTTTCTTCTCGATTCATAGACTCTTGTGCCCGCCACATCCTTGATAAGCTGACATCTCTCTTCATCACTCATATTGGCCATGTTGACGATCTTACCCTGCTCCACAATATAGTAGGGGTTACTTGAAGAAAATCCTGCACTTTCCAACAGTTGCCTTACCTCTGTTGCCGTAAAGCGACGATCGTTCACGCGAAATTCGTCTTGTTTAAGTCCCAAAGTACGCCGTATCCGCACTTCTTTCTCTTCAGCTCGTCCAGGGATAACAAGACGACCATCAGAGTTATCAAAGATGATCTCAACAAAAATGGACAAGGCCGGTCTTCCGGAACCCACGTGAAAGAGTTCCTTACGTTCAGCGGTCGTTAATGTACTATACTTTTCACTCAAAACAAACTGAACAGCTGCAAAGAAATTCGATTTACCTGAACCATTTTTTCCCACAATAACGTTATTCTTGGGTGACAGGTCCACCTGAAAAGATTGATCTCGGTAGGAGCGAAAACCTGAAATCAGAATGTTTTTTATGTGCATTTTAAACGGCCTTGTTAAAAAAAGGAAATCTATCTATATATTTAGGGACGAAGAGAAGGAAGACGCATATTTTGAACAAGATACAATTCTCATACATAGGCACAACCACACCCTCTCTAGAGCCGTACGCAAACCAGGGAAGGATCAACAACATCATTTTTGGAATGTTGTCTCTTTGCTGAGAAAAACACAAAAACAAAACAAGACAAAACTGGTCTCATCATTTCAGTATCGTACAACGCTCTTCCCTCTCAAGGGCGCCCACGCAAAACGAGTTTTCGCCTCTCCTAAAGCGCACTCAACTCCCAAAACGCCCCATAGAGCGGCGCACACGGAGAAGAACACACAGCATCCTCCCCACCCCGCGCTAAAAGGAAAGAACGACGGGTCCCAGGCACGACGGCGCCCGCCCCGCCGGCAGCGAAATACGCGCGGGAAACGCGAGCGCCTGTGGCGGCACCGCGCCGCCGGTGGCGAAAAAAAAAAAAATCAGAAAAACGGCCCGTCTCCGCCTCCGTCCCCGTTTTTTTCGCTTGTCTTGTCCGGCGCCCCGCCCGCTGCCGGAAAGGCGAACCGGCAGCGCAGCGCCGTGTCTTCTTTTGCCCCTTTTTTATTTTAGTTGTCGTGTTTGTTTTTTCCTCGGCGAGGGGGGAAGGCGCGTTTCGCCTGAACGGTTCCGGACGGGGTTAAAGAGGTTCGGGCGACTGTAGGGGAAGTTTCCTGTCTGTGCCCTTCCTACTTCCAAAAATGTATGCTTTCTAAATGTTCGCGTGAGTGGGAAGTGCATGTATTCACAACATGTTTTTTTTTTCATCTTGGAGAATGTGCTTGTTCTGAAACCGTTGGGGAACTTCTTTTCATTATGCATAAACAATTCAATAAATATCCGCATGCATTTAGATTTTTTTTTCTGTTCTTCGTCAATGAGGCTAGTTCCTCTATTTGCTGTCTTTTTTTTTGGAATGAGAGCAATGGGCTACTCGGGGATGTTTTTGGGAAGAACGTTGAGTTTGGCGGCCGATAAGAATGTCGAAATTCGTGTATTTTTTGTTTTGTTTTTCTTTTGATGGTGTTATGTCTATTTACTTCCCTCTCCCTGTTATATTAAAGTGAAGAGGCCAACGTGTCTCGCAAGGGATGTGAGAAATACTCTCTCCTTTATTTATATTTGAAGAGGGAAAAGAAGAATATTTAATCCAAACTTATACATTTTTCTTGTATTTTTGCGCGATGTATTAAATGGGTTTGCTAACCAGAATCTTTTACAGCCTAGTGGAAATGGGTTAGTTAAGTATCAAGGGCTTGCTGGGAAATAAGCTTTTGCCACAGTGGCAAGTCCCAATTCTCTGGAGCCCCTGTTGCCAATCTGTTGTTTATGACGTAAGGGCATGTAACTACAATATTTTTATTTTCTTATCATTTCCTTGTTACTATGTTCTCCAGGAGCTCAACATTTACGTGACAAACGGCTTAAGCCAAGCCCAGGGACTGTTCATACATTTGCAACGGCAGCGCCCCAACAACGACCATGCGATGACCATGAAGAGGACGCAGCGGAACCAATGCCAAAGATTCCTTGGCGCGAAGTGTGCGCACAGTGTCCGCGCAGCCCCTCAATCTTTGTCGCCGGGCGCACACCCTAGGCTTCCGTGCTGGCAGATTCTGCGACAAGGGCGGAGCAAGGCAAAAAATGACACGCTGTGGTTCAGAAACAGCTTGCGTGCGAGGAGGCGCCGGGGCACTTGCTTCCCTGCGCGGCCGGACAATCCAAATTCGGCCTGGAGGGATTGGAGGCACCCGGGCTCTACAGTTCAGCAAGCGACTGGCTCATTTCCTGTGTGGTCTCTTCGGCCTCCCAAGCCGTGAACCGTCCCCACTCTTTAACGACAATGTGGGTGTTTCCCCCCGCCCGCTGGTTGCAGGGAGCGCCCTGTATTTTCCTATTGTCTTTCGCTTCGGCTTCAAACTGGTTCTATGGCACTGTGGAATGCTCTCAAAGAAGATACAGGGCCTCACCGCTGTCAAGACATCTTGAAGGAAACGGAACCAACGAGAGAGCCCGTACTTAACTTTTTTTTCGGCACGAAGGAGAGCTTGGAAATGACGCCATTTACGCATGAGAGTGATGGAGCTACAGTTGCAAAGCTAGTATGGTTGCGCTATATATGTCAGCATCTCTTTACCGGCCCCTTTTTTTGTATCATTCTAAAATTGAACGAGGTTTGAGGATGAAACATGTTTAACGCTGTTTTATCATTGATGTAGCTTTTATTGCTTCTTAAGGAAAAAAAAGAAGGATATAACAGTATCCTTTGAATGAAAATTTGGATATTTTCTGTGTATTCTTTGATATTTTCTTGAGAAGGAGTTTTTCGGGCAAGGCACACA